GACTTAGCATTTTTTTAAAGCTAGAATTTATGTAAATAATATTTAATTGTCTCACTTAAATCCAAAATTATTACGCCCGATGTCAATTAGACATTTTTGCAGACGATTTTGAAATGCACATAAAAAGGGATGTATACTTAGGATAAGATCGATGATATCAGTGAAAATAATATCCAATTGAATTGCACTGATTTTGTTACCGAATTAATTAATCAGCTGAAACAAAGGTATGGGATTTGTTGTTGTTTATACCTCAATATAACAATTATGTATTCTTAAATTTAAGGTTACCGGAAAACTTTGGAATTTTAAAAACTATTGATCAGTTTTCGGTCGAAAATGAATTACGAACAATCAAAGAGCCTATTCTTTTAATTTTAGAGGGTTTGCACTGGAGAGAATTTGTTTCGCGAATAACTTTTCTTAGAATTGACCGAATTGGATAAAATTTATATATAAATATATATATAAAATCAACAGTAGATAATTATATATAAATATATATATATAAAAGCAACAGTAGATAATTATATATAAATATATATATAAAAACTACAGTAGATAATTATATATAAATTATATGTGCAAAGTTTGGTTATTCTAACTTTTGAAATGTGGACGCTATTGACGAAATTCTGTAGCGGGGGAAGGGGGGCGAAATTCCAAAAAATAAAATAAACTCGTCCTTTCTCGGACACAGGAGAATCTGGATACCAACTTTGGTTATTCTAGCTTTTATAGTTTCTGCGATCCTTGCGTTCACCCAGACGGACAGACGGATGGACATGTCTAGATCGATTTCTCTCGTCATGCTGATTCAGAATATATATACTTTATGGGGTCGGAGATGCTTCCTTCTGCATGTTACATACTTTGCACAAACCTAATATACCCTTTTTACTCTACGGGTACAGGGTATAAAAAATCTTATTACCCTATAAAATGGCAAAATGTTGACAGCACCGTTAAGTTTTGATCGGAAGCAAAATCAGATATGGACTCAGCAGGCAATTATCAATTTTTAGAATTGGCATAACTTGCCCTTACTTTGTTATCATTGCATTGGTCAAATGCGGAAGTTAAGCGTGTGTTCAGCCAGGTCAATTTGATGAAAACAAAGCTAGACCATCAGGTAACATTTAGATATTACTACATATAAGTAGATATGTTTTTAATTAATTTTAACCATTTACTAGATTCAGGTTACATCGGTATGGTGCATGCTGCAATACGTATAAATATCCAGAAAAATATCTTAAAATTACCACAAATGCGTCATACGACAATGACGCAGGCGTCAATGATGCTATAATTGACGAATTAATAAGAATAATAATTTTTTGTAACGACGCCCTGACATTCAAACAATAAAAGGCAAAATTAATATGAAAAAACTAGCTGTCCTGTTTTTCTGTCCTTAAATTTTTCTATCCCTTTTTTTTCGCTTTTTTATGTTTCTTTATCCTTATTTTGTAGCGAGGTGCTGGCAACACTGATACACGCATATAAACACGCAGACACACGATTCTGATATAAATGTATGCTCTTGAAACTGTACATGAACATGTATCCAATTTTGTTTATATGTATTGAATAATTTGTATTTAATTTAATGAAATAATTTAATTAATATAATTTTTTTAAATTAATAAAACAAATTTCCTTTTGTGGTTTTTTGCTTTTTGGTGGGATGTACAGGGTATTTAAGAGTTGAGCTCGCTCGACTTTAGCATTCCTTTCATGTTTTTATTATAGCCTGTACCAAAAGGGTGAAAGGCTATACTAGTTTTGTGCGCATGTATGTAACACACAGAAGGAGGCGTGGCTGACCTCACAAAGTATATATATTTTTGATCAGGATGACAAGGCGAGTCGATATAGCCATGTCCGTCTGTCCGTCCGTCTGTATGAACGCAAGGATCTCAGCAAGTACAAGAGCTAGAATAACCAAACTCGGTATCCAGATTCTCCTGAGTCCGAGAAAGGACGAGTTTGTGTTTTTTTTTCTGATGCACCCCTCCACTCCCCCGCAATTCGTGTTTTTTCTTATAACTTTCGTAATTCTCGGAATTTTGAAATCAATTTTGGTAGGTACATCCAGTTAGTACTAATGTGTCCGTGTGCCAAATTTCATCATGATAGGTCAATTCTGAAGAAAGTTATAGCCATAAGTAAAATCGCTGCTCATGCGCTGCCTGCAGCTCTGTCGGCAGCGCTGCCCGCAGCTGTTGTTGTTGCTGCTTTGGTTTGTGCTGCATACATACACGCATATAAACACGCATAGGTACGTGATGTAAATGTATGCTGTTAAAACTGAACATAAACATGTATTCTAATTTAATTTAATTAATTAATTCATCCATTCATTTCATTTAATAATTTAATTTTTAAAAAAATTTATTTTTTTAATTTTTCTTTTTTGTGGAGAGTACAGGCTATTTTATGTCGGGCTTGCTTGACTATAGCGTTCTATCTTGTTAACTTTCGTTTGACTCACAATTTTAGACTCAACTCAACAAATTGTGATGTTCGAAAAATTTTATGTTCCATTTGGGCCATTGGGGCATCTTTATTGTGCGGTTGTTTTGGATGCTATGTTTGAATGCTAATGGTTTAAGTATACATTTAGTACAAGGTGCGTTCCAAAGTAAACAAGACTCTAAAAAAAACAGAAGAAATGGTTTTTTCGCCAAAATGAATTTATTTTATTCAAAATAGTCTCCTTCTGCTTCAATACAGCTTTTTGCACGATCCAAAAACATGTCGAACGAGTGTTTTAGCTCGTTGGCCGGTATGGCCGCCAGTATGCCGGTGCAAGCCTTTTGAATGGCCTCTACGTCTGCATAACGCTTTCCTTTCATGGGCAAATGCATTTTTCCGTAAAGGTAGAAGTCGCACGGTGCCATATCAGGTGAATACGGCGAGTGGTTAATGGTTAAAATGTGATTTTTGGTCAAAAATTCGGTCACAAGCGTCAATCGATGAGACGGGTTATGAGCAATTTTTGGTCGTCAGTCAATTTGTGCGGAACACATGTTGATCGTCATTTATGTCCTCATGACCACTTTGAAAACGTTGAAACCACTCGTGAACTCTGCTACGGGATAGGCAATCATCGCCATAAACTTGTTCCATCAATTCAAACGTTTCGGTAAAAGTTTTACCAATTTTAAAACAAAATTTAATATTGGCTCTTTGTTCGAAGCTCATTTTCGCACCGATAACACAAACATATTGACACTTAAAACGCAATAACTTCACATCCAATCGAAGAAATTCTCACTGGACAATCGATAAAGATAGCAGATTCTAACGCAAAAGTCGACTTGTAATTTGCTAATTTAATAATAGTTACCTGATGTGAAAATATTTTTGATGCAGATTGTTCAGAAAAACTATAAGGTTTATATTCCAATGATTATTTATATTTGGAAAAATTTCGTTAGTGTTTTTAATCAAAACTCCTAGCAAAGCAAACAAGATTTGACACAATTTCTGTGGCACCGAGAATTGGTTTTGAGGCGAAAATTGGGCGGAAGGGATTACTGTCGCACCCCTGTATAGTTTCGAAACTGTAATATGAAAAATTATCATTGTTTGAATTTATATATATATATATGTTCCGTATAGACCCCGAAATCGCTCAACCGATTTTGATCAAATTTTGTTGCAATATTCAAAATAGTCCCGTTGGTAAGCCTGTGAAGTTTTGTGGCGATTCGTCAACTCAATCAAGCATCGTTTTCTGGCTTATTTCTGGTCATTTTAATTTGTTTTACAGTCACTTTTTACTCTGTTTGTCAATGTTTCAATCGTAAATAAATAACACTGTAAAATCGAATTCGAAAAAATTCCGATGAACGCGAATAACGTTTGCAAGCTCTTTGCATCTACGCCTAGAGCCATAGAAACAAAACAAGAGTGGGAGTGGCGGCTTTGGCAAATACTCGAAAGGGCATCCAAATCTGAAGCCAAGAAACACCAATAGGGGGCGATGGACATCCTCTGTATAGACGACGAAAGGTGGACGACAGTGAGTACTCAATCAAGGACGTAATCGTATTGGGCAAGATGTGACGTTGGAAATATTAAAAAGCACTACAAGTGCCGCGGCAACGCAAGCCGGAAACGCTAGTTCTTTATAAATTTAAAAGTCGTCAAAATGTCTGAATTCAATAAATCATAAAAAATTTCCGCAGCAATCTTATTTTTCTAATGTCAAAATACTTTTGTCCACCGTTGTATACCTCTATTAAAATATTGGTATCAAAAACAAATTTTGCACAAATATTAATTTTACTGAGGTATGTTCCAGTCACTACAGATTTAGGAGCTATGTATGGCAGTGAAAACTTCGCTGCTTTTTGTTGGACACAGACTTGAAAATCGGTTGTTGATTTTCAAAGATATTCAATGTATACCATACCGACATAAAATATGGCACACCCTGTACATAGCTGTCGAGTAAGTTAACCACGGATGACCAAAAAAAGATGTAAAAAGTATGTACGTATGTAACTTGCATGTCCACAGAACAATAGTTTTTGTTGTAAGGCACAGTGAAAGGTATATATGCACATACATATGTATGTACATAGCATCGGTGTAGATAAAGATAACTTGACATACATATGTATTTATATTTGATTGTTTTTGAATAGATAGAATTAATAAATGTGCTCTTAATGTATTATATTTATGTATGCATGTGCATAGTTATGTGTCGTGTACAATAGTCTATTTCTTACGTCACGGTGCTTTCTTTATGTGAATCGCGCTCTATTTCTGAACAACAAAATTGAATTAACTCTGTAAGTAAAGCAGGTGCACAAGGTGCACATTAAGACCTCCTAAGCAAAAATTAATTAGGTATATATGTATATACGCAAAGCTAAGAAAACGATTTGCAGTCTTAAAATTAACAACAAAACGCCACGTGTCGAACTTCAACTACTCCATATACATACTTTACGCATTTAAACGGTTTTTCATATACTCACCCGCGTGCCATTTCAAGACTTTTTATTAATTTTTTAATTTTCCATATTTCTACATTGCGATCAGCGGACGTTTCCTCTCCCGACATTTTTGTAAAGTACGTCCTGGTCCACGACGACTGCGATACACTTTATGACGACTGTATTTTGATGGGTTGTGACTATGTGAAATGCAAATCTTCGGGCTTATGGCGATGAATACACTAAAAGCAATAAATCATACAGATACATACATAAAATAAGGATAACCATGTACAGAATGAGCGAAGTATCTGAACACTATTTTCATATGCTAAAAGTATAAATTGATATTTTATAAAAATTTAGATGATAAACGATTTTAATATAAATTAGAATATTTTAACCAAAGTTGCACTTAATAATTGAGTTGTAACTCAAAAACTACACTTTCCACTTCAGATTACAGGCCTTTAAATAAACAGCGCGACAGTTCGACACTAAGAAGCGTTTACCCAAAAATTAATTTGCATTGCAATTTTGTTAGAATTAAAGTTTATACCTTATAACCAACACAAGCTAAAAATTGTTTTCTTGAAAACAATTATTCCAAAATTTCTACGCGTGCAACGTGCGCAGAAAGAAAAGAAGTCTGACCGATAACAAATTAGACAAATTTGGAGACGTCGACACAAATTTGAAAACAAAACAAATATCATATGAATACTATACAACTTTTGTACATACCAATCAAAATAGAAACGACTGAGTTGTAACATTGAAACAATGGAAAGGAACAATTACGATTTCATTAAAGACTTATTGAAGATACATACACTTGCCCGCATAACTCTGCGTATACACAAAAAAATAGACAAATTTTAGCTTTAAATGTGAATATCTTTTAATATATACAACTTATTGAAGTAAATGTTTTTGATTTGCTTAGATTCGACATTTTTCTTAATAACTACATTTTTTTAATATTAATATAACAATGAATATATTTTATTTCTATTTTTTAACAAAACCTTTTTGAAAAATGGACCCGCAAAAGTCTGCGTACAAGCAGACTAAACTGTGTAGAATAAGAGAATATGCAATTACAGTTATCTTAGTTGCACTTTTTCTTTTTTTTGAAGTTTGCAAAAGACTTTTGCTATGCATTGAAGTTGTTTTTGATCAATCACAACCATGGCGCCATCAGGAAAAGAGATCGACACTGACCCTCGAAAATTAATAATTAATTTGCGTGTCCAGGGCAAATCTTATAGAGAAATTGGACAGGTGGTGGGCAGAACTCATTCATCATGTCAGAGGGTGTTTAATAATTATGTTTACTCAGGTTCGGTGTTATCAAAGCCACGATCTGGGCGTCCGTCTCTATTAACAAAGCGAGAGGGAAAGCGTACATATGTACATTGGGCGAAGTGACTAATTGATAATTTGCTGGTTCAGCAGGTTTGAAAATCTGTTTAACTATCAACACAAACATATGTTCATAAATGTTTATGTACATACATATTCATAAGAATCGTGTCTATGTGTCATGTACCTGCAGTACATGGCAGAGATTGGACAGAGATTACATTTATGGTCCTTCATAATTAACATATCATGATGAAACTTAATATACATATGTACGGACACATAATCACTAACTGAATGTAACTACCAACGAACGGATATGGCTAATGATAAATTTCGATCATTTTCGTTTAAATATTTATTATATATATTTTTATTATTTAATTGCATTTTTCATTAATTTTTATTCTATTTTTATTCACAGTGGAGCACTGCTGCCCAAAAATGTAGGTAATATACCATTAAATTAGTGGATCAATGAATATGTAATTCAGGAAAAGTAAAAAATTAATTTTACGCAGAATTTGGTTCCACAATATTAGATGTCGGCCAAATAGGACAATTTTTTCATTAAATAAAGCAATAATAAATTATTACACCTAGCAATGCAAATCAGCAATGATTCGTAACATAATTTAGTTAATATTATACCTGAAAGTATTTGAATAAAAACAAGTATATTGTTGCAAATTAAAAATAAGGCAACTTTGACTGCATATATCTCCTGAACTATATTTCCGATTTCTTTGATAGCAAAATTTTCATAATCTCTGGTACATTTTCTATTAGGCATGAAAAACGGTGAGTGTATAAACGCTACTTTTAGAGCAGGCAATCCACATTAGAATTAGTTGCCTGAATTTCTTGGGCTCGACGAAATGTTCGACGTTATTGCAGGTGATGGGATTATATTTGAGTGTTCGACGTTTTGTTCGTGAAGAATAGAAATGTTACTATCTTGCGTCTGTTCGTGTCAACATGTTCGACAATAGATGGCATTGTGGGCACGAACCTCATTTGTGAAAGTATTTGAGTAAACAAGTGCCAATTATTGTTGGGCGGACTTGCGTTCCTCCGTGGTGCACTTGTTTTCTAGTGGGTCCGATATAATAAAGAAGCCTGGGGCCAATTCAGAGAGTCGAGAGTACGATACGTACACCGACGTTTTCCTGGCGAAACTGTCACAGGTCAATAGACTACCCTTCAAGATACCGGATGACAACATAGTCAAGATAGTAATTGGGTGCATAACTGAGGTCAGCATTAGAATTCCATAAAGTTTGCCGACTTTGGTATAGAGCTTGATAGACCGTATGTCGTCGATTAGAGAAAAGCCGAACAACAAGCTATACCTCTCTTCGCATCGGCCGTACCAGAGAGAGCCCCTGAAATTAAGACCGCTCCCAAATAAACGCGAGCCCTAGGTGGAAAAAAGAAGACAAGAGTGCTAGCGATAATGCCGGCCAAGTCGCAAATTGTACGTTTTACGACAGTTCAAGGCATACTAGGGAAAACTGCATTTGTCACGCCTGACGGACATTTTGATTATTTGTACATACTTGTACTTGTACTTGCTTATGCACCTGCCGTATTCCAATGGGCAATTGATCGGTCTTTGGGAAAACTAAAGGGTCACGAAGCTTTGGTCTATTTAGATGATGTCCTCATTCCGTCGAGAACTATAGAAGAGGGTATCGAAAGGCTCGATACCGTGGTAAAATCACTGTTGCAAGTTCCTTCAGACGACCATCGAGTTGCTAGGGCGGGAAGTGTCCACTGACGGTATTAGAACAAGTAAAACAAAAATTGATGCACTAGTAAGATCACTGTCACCAACAAATGTTAATCAGGTGCGAAAATTATTTGTTATATTTGTCTCGGAGTTTGCTTCTAAAACCGCTTGAATTACTGCCCTGGCTAGAAATAATATACTGTAGCATGCGCATATGTGGAGAGTGCACTATATCCAGTGCTTGTCAAATATATTAAGCAGCAACACTTTGTTGCTACATAAACATAATTTAAACAACGACACTTTGTCGCTACGTAAGCATAAGTCAAGTACCTAGCGCAATCAAAGCTGCGTCAGTATTCTCATGCCTTGACCCCGCTCATGAGACATGTGTGCATAACTCTCACCAATACATATTCACTTTACATATTATATATAAGCATACATACATACATATATACATAAGGCTACTCTGCCGCCGACTTTTCTGCTGAAGCAGCGACGAAGCCTTTGGGTAAGTTAACATTCAAACGAAAGAAGATGTCTTAGTCTCTTTATGTCTTAGTGTACTTTGATATTAACACATGGCGACCATGACAAAAAGATCCTAAGGATAAGGGACGCGATTATCAACATGCATGCCAGGAAATAAATGGAACACTAGTAACAGCTCAAATTGTGAACCTGCTGTCTTTTAAGGAAGGAAGCAGTCTCTTTTATGGACTAAACAGTAAAGGAAGTAAGAAGTAAGGAAAACATGGGAAAACTGAGTGAGTAGAGTGCGAGTGATGGGAAAACGCGGAGGTGGGAAATCAAAATTAAATAATAGAATAGCTCACTTAAAGTGGCTATTGTTCTCGAGTACACCGCCACCAGCGGGTCAACGGTACAAAAATTACAAGCCGAACTCGATTTCTTGATATTAAAGTTAAACAAGAGAGAACGCTACAGTCGAGCAAGCCCGACAGTGTAATACCCTGTACCCAGGTAAACTTCCGTCACTGAGTTATATGCGCCCATAGCAGCAGCAAAAAGAGGAAGAAGAAGAGCGAACTTGTTGCTGCAGTTTGGTGGGGTTGTACTGGCGAGAATTTGTTTTGCTAATAACTTTTCTTAGAATTGACCGAATTGAATTCGAACAACAGTAGATTATTATATATAAATTATGTGTGCAAAGTTTGGTTTAAGTAGCATTTGAAATGTGGACGCTATTGACGAAATTCTGTAGCGGGGGAAGGGAGGGAAAATTAAAAAAAAATAAAATAAACTCGTCCTTACTCGGACCTAGGAGAATCTGGATGCCAACTTTGGTTATTCTAGCTTTTATAGTTTCTGAGATCCTTGCGTTCATCCAGACAGACAGACGGACGGACATGTCTAGATCGATTTCTCTCGTCATGCTGATTCAGAATATATACACTTTATGGGGTCGGAGATGCTTCCTTCTGCATGTTACATACTTTGCAAACAAACCTAATATACCCTTTTTACCCTACGGGTACAGGGTATAAAAACAGCAATTCCCAACACCGCAACTCATTCATTTAATATACAAACTAGTTAAAAAGCTAAAGTCGGGTGTCCTGACTTTAAAATACTCTGTACATATGTTTAAAATAATAATAGAAATTTAAATAAATAAATAAAACTAAAAAAGATTAGAAAATTAAAAAAAAAAAAAATTTAATCGATTTTACTTCCTTCGGTATTCGAACTCACTTAAAGGGTGTATAATTGCACATATACAAAGAAATTGCGTCTATGTGAGTGTATGAATGTCTATGCGCGTCTATTCGTGTCTGTGTAAGCAGATTTGCAGTCAACCAAAGCACCAGCATCAACAACAGCTGCGGGCAGCGCTTGGGCAACGCTTGAGCAGCAAATATATTTATGGCTATAACTTCTTGTTAAATCGGTCTATCAGAGTGAAACTTGGCACACACACACATAACCACTTACTGGGGGTATTGGTATTCGCACCACCGCGAAACAGAATTCCGAAGTACGGAAAAAGTTGTCCGAATGACTGCGACGGAAAATTAAATTCCATTCATTGTGAAGTCACGTGCCAGCAGTGCAGGAAATAAATACACGGCTGAACAACAGCCGCTTGCGCCAACGAAGGAACAAAAAAGTCCCCTGTTGAGTACAACGAGTACGAGAGGCATACCGTGGCATGCGCCAACCAGGCCAACCATTAGCGTGCCACATCCGGCGACTAATGCATAAATGATGAACTAAGACAAAAATTGTAAAATTGAGCGGAACCATTTCTGCCCGATCTTGCTGATCGGCCTGTTGATATAGCCTGTAAATAAATACGAAAAAGTAGAAACGAAATTGTAAGTTTACACGATATATTTAAGTTACATCCAAAACGGAGACATTGTATACAATAAGGAAAATTATAATATTGGGCCAAAATGGGCATTGTGCGAATGTCATAAATAAAGTTGAAGTCGGAAAACAAGATTTAAATTTGTTAATCACGCTGTTAATCATCATTGTAGTACTGATGTCACCTAGCTTGTTTTTCAAGATATATAAAATACATTATAGATGACTTAAAAATAAGTA